CAAGGTATATTTATACACTGTAGAAAACAGAATTCATATGTATGGTCGAACAAACTTGATCTGCCAGACCATAGACGGTTTCAGTGCAGTATTTAAATGCAGGTTGGGGATTCACAGTGGATGAATGCTAGTTAGCCAAAGCAGAAGCAAGAAGAGATCACCCAAAAGGAGGAAAAAATATCGATCTCAATGATCTGGTCTCCACCGAAAACTTAAAAGGCTGCCACCATACATACATATAAACTTCAAAATAAAAGATAGGTTTATCTGTTCATGCAATAATCTCATAGCAGAGCAGCATATGATTTGCTTTCTAAATAAATAAACAAGGCACCAAAAAAAAATCTGAAACAATTTATAGGCACTTTTTTCATCCTACTCTTGCACGTGACTTCTAGCCATGTCAGTTATCGAAGGCTGTATGATTCAAGCGCAACGCAGCCGACCCTATCTCCACGTCCCAGTTCCTATCCACACACAACAGCACCTTCAGGGAGTGTGTGCACTGTCTACTCTCAGAGCATACAGATCTTACAAGGAATCAGCATCACCGAGAAGAACAAACTATGTTTTGCATCAAAGCTAAGACAAGAGTGTGCTTGTTTTGTTTTGAACGTTGTAAAACTGAACCTGATCACAGGCTTGTTTCGAGGAATGGAGAAGGGGTTATTCTAAAGAAGAGTTCGAAATCTGTTATGCCACTAGGAAAGTCCTGCAACAGTGCAACACAAAGCTATCATTTCTTTTACCGCTCCGAAGTACTCCCTCTGTAACTTAACATAGGACTTCTTTGACAGTCATATTGTCAAAAGACGTCTTATATTAAGTTACAAAAGCCTGTCGGATAATAAGATGGACAAAAGAAAAGGAACAAAAAGGAAATTTGCATGACGGAGTGTAAATAGACGAAAACTGTGAACACACTGTTGTCCGTGAAAACTTAAACCAGAGATACATTTGCTCCTCCAACGACCAAGTGAGCTAGGTGAACTAGACTCAGATCAATTCATATACGGTGGAGTATTATTCTGCAAAGGTGGCGGCCGTGGGCAGACCGAGCTTAGTGCTGTCCAGGCAGCTTCTCCTTCACCTTGTCCATGAGGCTCTTCTTCTCACCGGTGCCGTGTGTCCCAGTGCCAGTCGTTCCGGTAAGCCCCTGCTGCCCATGGGTGCCGCCGGTGGCCGTGGTGTCATGCATCTCCGTGCCTGTCATTCCAGTGTGTCCATGCTGCCCGTGGGTGCCAGCGGTCTGCTGGTGGTCACCTTGGCCACCGGGGAGCTTCTCCTTGATGTTCTCCATGATGCCCTTCTTCTCGCCGGTGCCGTGTCCCTGGTGCTCCATGTTGCGCTGAACTTGTCACTCGGGAAATCTACTAGTGCTGCTGTTTACTTGTCTTGGTTGTGTGAAGCAAGTGGTTGTGTAAAGCAGGTGCAGCACGAGGCACTATTTATAGGCCGTTCGAGGGTGGACGAAGCTCCAGGTGTGCTCTCGTGAGTGGATGGGCAGGTGAGTGCCGACTAGCCCATAAAGAGGGGTGGTCAGATGGACAAATCGCCGGGCAGGGCGCTACGTGTGCTCGCATGAGTGGGCCGACAGGTGGCTGCCTACTAGAGTGAAGAAGACACTTCCCAAAAACATGTGATCACTCTTCTTTTCGTTTGCAAAAGTGGTATTGCTTAGCAGATCGAAAGTGTCGACATGTGACGACAACGAAAGTAAGTACACGAAGCATATGACAGGCTGAGCTGGGGGTTTGATCCAAAAGAGTTTTGTAGGATTTTTAGAGAATTTAGATCGTAGGGATTTTTTTTTCTGTGTTGGCTGTTTGATTCATAGTATATTGAAATGTTAGCAAGTTTTCTTAGAATTCATTTGCACTTTATTTTGGAGAAAAAAGTGCATCCACTCAAATCTCTGTGTATAATTCATTTTCTTTATAGTGATATCAAACACAAAAATGCCTTTTGGAGGCCGAGCTCCATGCAGGCCTCCAAAAGCATTTCTGAAATTTCATCAAAATTCATATTTCTAGATTTTAAAAATTATGAAAAAACACACATAGACATGAAGGCATAATATACATGTGCGTAAATTTTCAGGACAAAATATGTTGAAATGAGGCCTCTGTAAAACAAACAAATATGAGGTTTTTCAACACATGATACTATTAATCCTCAAAGACAACAAATTTGTATTTTCTGCACAGGTCGCATCTCAAGGTTTTTCATTCTGAATTTTTACATACATATACATTTCATCTTTGTATACTTGCATAAAATTTTCCAGATTTTTTTGAAACCGAAAAGTTCATTTTTTTGAAAAATAGATTCAAAAATAAAAGGCTGCATGGAGCTCGGCCTCCAAAACGCCTCACTTCATCAAACACTCTTTTATCTGAATTCCTGTAGTTTTCTAATCCTGTAGGATTCAAGAGGACATGTCAGTAAAATCCTTCGTATTTCTATTTCCCTCGTTTTGAGAAAAGATACCCTAATTTGGCGCCCCAAACTAGCAACTCACCCGTACAACCGGCTCCTTTATTCCTCTCTTGTCGTCCCTGTAGGACATAGTCAGGCAAAACTCTTGCGACGGTAAGATTTTTTCCATGCCGTGCCATGCGGGATGTGGTGGAGCTGGCGCATGATCTGGCGTAGTGGCCATTGGTGTCGCGAGGTGCTTCCACCGATGACGCGGCGGTTCGAATCACATGCAAGGTAGCGTGGAGCCGACGATCGACGTGGAGGTGAGCACCAGAGCGGATGTGCGTTGGAGTTGCGTGCAAGAGGCGGACGACCAACAGCCGAGCTCGATCATGGACGTCGCGACTGCTCCAAGTCTTTCAACTTCCAAAATTTTGACAATCGTAATTTGAATTTTTTTAAATAATTTTCAAACGTTTCACTTTCAAAATTTGATCTTTTAGAATACTTTGAACTTACAAAAATTTGAACTTCAAAAAATATTTCAAAATTTTGAAATTATAGAATTTTGGAAAATTTCACAGAAAATAGAAAATGTACGTCCTATGTGGGGCCCACAATGTGATTGTGTAGTGGGAAAACTTGTGTGACCATACATGTCGATTACTACCTCCACAGGTCTAAGCACATGAGAGACTTACGAGGCACGTCTAAGAGCAACTCTAGCAGATTTGCCATAATAACTTCCAATAATTATGATTTTGGCCAAAAAAGGCATTGTAGCATGGTCCTCATATTGTTGGGCATCGTAGTATAGAAAAAAATGTCCTATGAAACAAAACTAGGATCACTATGAAGACATACATACAAGGTTAGATCTTTACCAACAACAAGTTGCAACGGAAAAAGAGTTTGTGAAGATCGTGTTCTTGAAGTCTCACGAACAGATCCCTCAAACAAGAACCGGACGTACGGCCCCTCTGTGCATTGCACATGTTCAACACCAGAGATCTGGCAGTGCTTCCTCGTCTGGGGCTTGATGATGCCAGAATAGAAAAGGAGGGAGGAGCAGCCCTTCGCGAGAAGAGCTATGGTGGAGAACTAGAGAGGGGGACACCGCAGATCGCGAGAGAACTTGTGTCTCAGTAGGGGGCGCCCCATGGGTATATATAGGTGGAGGGGCGAGGCCAAGTTGGAGGAGGGGGCTTCCCCTTGTGGCGACGGCCAAGGGGGTGCCGCCCCACCACCCTCTAGCTTGGGGGGCACCACATATATGGGCCTTTAGGCCTATGTGGCTGCACCCTAATAGGCTTTAGTCTATTTGGGCAGCCCATGGTGCCTAGAATAATCCTGAGGGGCTCCATATAAATAATGGAACCCTCATATACTAGTATTACATCCTCCAGATCTTTCACACCTATCCAGTTTTATTTGGTTTTCTCTGAACTGCTTCTGATTTCCCCGAAACACTTCTGGTTCTCTCGCACAATAATTTCCGTTATCTCCGAAATTTTTTTGGTGATATACTCCAATACTCCCAACTCAATTAGAACTCAACAAATCAAAGGTTCTTAAGTATGTGAGCTTGTAGGTTTGGTGAAACACATACATGACCGAAAAAACTTTCGACCAATGATCAATAGCGGAACTATGGACATCCATATTGACCCCTATACTCACACAAATGTTTATCGACTGGACCTGTAGCTACCATATGATATTCATTTTGCTTTGCGATAATTTACAAAACCTGAGGTGATATATATCAGTATCCCCGTGAGTCAAATACATTCTGACTATACCTGATGATGATAGATGTCGTCACACCGAAGGCCCCTAAAAAAATCTCTCCATCGTCACAGGAACAAAATCCGAGTCTCGATCTATCTAGTTCCCCATCATATGTTTCCGATGAACATGCAAGATGCTGTTATGATCACCCTGTTACAACTGACATCAGAATAACCCCAAAGTGCATCATCCGGTATGGAGTGACTCTATACTCTCATGGTCTAACGAATTGTGCATATGTTAACTTCCCGTTTCATGGACTATAGACTTGTGACAATATCATCTCTTAGTAAAAGATACAACTTGGGTCATGGCAATACGAGTGTTCTTCCAACATCGTTACCTCAAATGTTCTCAGCATCATTGTCACACTTAACTATGCCCACGACCAGAAAAATAAGACCATCATACAACAACTAAGCTAGTCTTAAATGCAAGACTAGGAATTGTTGGAAATATGCCCTAGAGGCAATAATAAAAGTGTTATTATTATATTTCTTTGTTCATGATAATAGTCTTTTATTCATGCTATAACTGTATTATCCGGAAATCGTAATACACGTGTGAATACATAGACCACAATATGTCCCTAGTAAGCCTCTAGTTGACTAGCTCGTTGTGATCAACAAATAGTCATGGTTTCCTGGCTATGGACATTGGATGTCGTTGATGTAACGCCCGGATAATCTTGCTACAGTAATCCCACGCTAATCATGGCACGTCATCCCGATTACTGTTGCTATCCTCGCAATAATTCGAAACCGTTCAAATTCAAAATTCAAATTGATGAAAACAATAAAATTTTTCAAAATTTAAAATAAAATTGTTCGGTGGTTGACGAATATTACAAAGGTAATTATGGTGCAACAGGCATATTTTTATAAAATGGCTAAATGGATTAAATGATTTAAACAGGAAAGAAATAATAAAAGAAAATACAAAAGGAAAGAAAAACAGAAAACCAAAAAGAAAAAAAAGAAAAGGAGGGAAGCCCCCCTGCTGGACCGCGGCCCAGCTGGCCATCGGGCCAACCAGGCCGGCCCAGGTCGCCCCCCCCACTCCTCTCCCTTATC